CCTTTTCCTACTTCCTAATTGGCGGTGGTACTGCTGAAGTGAATGGTAACTCAAAGTGCAGTCAGATTCGTTCGTCTTACATCTTTTCATTGCAGTATTTCTCTTGCTCGGTTTTCAACAACAGATATTTCAACGAGTACCTACAAAGCTTGACTCAATTTTTCCATTCGGATGAGGTGACTTGGACAACGAATGCAGTGATGTTTAAATTTTCAGGCCAAGCTTAACCAAGCCGGTGTTTACATTGAAAAAAAAAATACCATAAATCTTCCGCTGGAACTATCTCCTTAAGATTCCTAGCGCCAACCGATGTTTCACTCTCCATTCTTCGCATTATGTACTCGTAAGACGAGGGATGGCATGATGAGCAACTTATAGAGTTTGGTGTCTGGCAGATCAGACTCAACCAGTTTCGGCACTGAAATATCTATCGGCTATGACCTGTATCTAGATACGTAATCGACTGACAAATCTTAAAGCTTTCCATCCAGTTCATTCATTACTTCATAGTTCACCTAAATGGAATGTAGAGCGGTGTTAAATGTTTGGTGCACCGCCTTGCATAGAATGTCGTTCAATGTCGTGAACTCTACGCGTTTTTATTAGTTGAAAATTAAAACCTCTTATCAGTTGTTACGATAAACGTTTCATCAAATCCTGATCCCATTACTGATCTCTCCTTGAGCAAATTCCTTCAGGGACGAGTCTAGGATTGACCTATGACCTCTACTGGGGAATTAATTTTTATAACAGTTTGAGTTATGATCGAAAAACTTGCCTTTTACAGTTTCAACATCCGATTAAAAATCACAAGCTTCCATTGTCTGTAGTTTTTCTTCGCCACCGCAGGGTTCTCCCTGATACTTTGAGAATGGAGAGCGAATTTACGAGACTACTATCGACTTACACCGTCTAGTGAAACCAGTAAGTTTAAACAGAACTTTCACCAAACAGAGTGTAGGGTTCGATCTTTCCAATGCTTTCATCTCCGACTTCTACTTTGAGTACTTTCACAAAATGGAGTATTCTCAGCCATACGGACGATATGATCCAGTCAGCGTTACCACTGTCTCTTAATACACAAAACCAAATGAATATCGCTGTATACTTCAGACAACTTATCCTCCTCTTGTTTATGGTTGGCACAGTTAGTTGATGTAGTCGAGGTTATCTATAAGGAGACCCCAAAAATAAATTGTTTTATTGATTACGCCTCGAACGCAATGAATTGTTAGCTCCATCAGAGCTAATCCGGCATAGAGGAACCACTTTGCAGCGAGTTAACCCCCGCTGAGGCTAACAGGTACAGAATCGGTTCATAGATCATTTTCGAAGCCTTATCTCAACGGTTGTCGTCATCGTCTACATTTCTGCACTGTAAAACAAGGCGGGAATGATGAGTGACTTGTAGAGATAAATCCTATTCTAGAGCGAGTGAAGACATTACTGTTCAATTGCCTACCCAGCCTCGGGTAGCTTTGATGGGTTGTATTGTTTTGCTTGTGTTGAAGGTGGTTCCCACTGATTTTTGTTTTAGTATTCATCCGATGTCGACTTCAAAAAGAGTCGCAACTTCTGCCAAGAGTGCCGGGAGATCCGAAATGCAAGAGCGATGACTCTTTGTTTGATGCCAGTAGAGAATAGACTTTATTTAATATCAAATGTAGTGAAGGAATTCTACCCAATACCGATCTGACTGACGGGGCCATTGGTGTTATTCAGCGTTAGTTCATACAGCCATATATATATTTCCAGTATTACCAGCGGCTTGAATGTATTTTGATACATTTCTCTCAAATCTTATCTGAGATTGGGAACAATGTTGGATATCCGCTCTATTTTGGATTTATCCGGTGAAACCAAATAGTTCACTGGTCGTGGGACTTAATTATTAACAGAATACGTCCGATAAGACATTGCCGGTGATATTAAGACGAAGACTTAAAAGAGGTTCTGTCACAATTGGCTTAAGAGCGAATAAATTGATTTGAACAGCTGTGACTGTGTAGCCTATTTTTGTCTTTCTCTTGCTTCATCTTCCCAAATGCCTCATTGGTTCTACAATTGGTTCCTAAGAGGAGTGGCTACGATCTTAAAACATTTTTTAGAATGTCTTTGCAACTCTCTTAAACTTTTTGGCTATTTTTGTTTTAATGTCAGTGAGCTTTCCAAGGTTTCGCTAACCATGCTTTTGGATTCTTTTTAGTTTTGCATACGAACCCATCTGAGGCCACTCTTCAAGACCAAGCTGTCTATTTCGAAAGTAGCCTATCGATATCAGATGTAGACGCTTACTTTTCGCTGTGCTATTCAGTTGTGGGTCTTTTGAACAGATAACAATTATTGTATATTTCAGACCCTGGTAAAGCAGGCAGCAGCAGCTTGCTTCCACCTGAACGTTGGATTTGTAGTGTTTGTTCTAGATGTGCTTAGAAGACATCTCTGGTCATGCTGTTCTTCCCTTTCTCCGAAGTCGGATGAGAGAAACCTCCGTTTTCGGAAAGTGAACCAGAAAAAAAATGTATTCAAAAGCTTCTTTTAAAAAAACCATCAGCCGTTCGGGAGCGGCTTAGTATAAATTGTGTGTTCCCCTATTTGTTGAAAAAACATCAAGACGCAAAACCACAAATTGGAGAGGGAGCTCGGCCAAAAATTGCTTCAGCGGTTACAAAGCGCCAATATCTAGGAAACACGAGCATTTTTTCTGACTTAAGTTATATTTATTATTAATTTTTTTCCGAAAATTAGACCTGGATTTTTTTTATTTACTAGTGGATTGGGATTGATTTAAATAATAATAATTTTTGTTTGTTTCGATTAAAATTCTTTCGGAACTACTAAGACCACTTTTTCTGCTAGAAAGTGAACCTAGAATCGAGATATTTGAATCGGTTGACTTAAATAAAATTCTAAAATTCTAAAACCCGGGAAGTGGGCCAAGAACCGCTTTATTTGGCAGGCTTTGATTTACTGGAATACATTCTTTTCTTACCGTCAAGTGTACCAGAAATCCTTTTGGGGGGAAAAACTAGTTTTTGTAAGAACCATTGAAGCTAAAGCAACCTGTGTAGCCGAGTCTGCTAGTCATTTAGTTACAAACAAATTTCTGTGCATATATATAATTATGTATGTACTTTCTTGCTGGAAACAATTTGAGTAAAGAAAAATATTTTAAAAATCATCTCTTAAACTCTACACGATTTGTTGCCTCTTTAAAATGTGCTTTTTTTGTTTTATTTAAAAACTATTTTTGGGAATTCCTTATCCATGAAATTTTCTCTGAAGCAAATTAAAAGTGAATTCGAACGAAAATGATTAATTGAATGCTTCTTTGAAAACTTAATTGCCCATGTGATGTGTATAAATTTGAAGGCCAAGGTTACTCGGTGTTGCACTTTTTCCATGGAATTTAAAGGCGCCAAAGTGGATTTGGATTGAAAAAAATAATAAAAAAAAATTGGAAAAAATACTTCTGAACGCTGGAGACACTAAAAACTTGTATTTACTTATATTATGAAAGAGAAAAAATATAAATAAAATAATTTGCATTATAAAAATATGTATATCGTCACTGTTCTATTCTCTGCTCATAGAGAATTTATGGATTTTCGGCTAATGGATTTTATATGAAAATTTAGATAAAAAAACAAATTCACATTTACATATGAGACAAAATTGGTGATTTTATTGGTTTTGCTTACGAAAGAAAATGAAAGGTCAAAGATAGGCGAAAAATAACAAGATTATATAACTTTTTAGGTAAAAAAAAATAAACAGCTAAGGGCGAGCGGTTGAATGAACTGCGCTTGAGTAGTGAAGTAAATTTTTTTTTAAATAAAAAAATTGCCCAAAATTTTTATGAATTTCAATTAGTAAAAAGTTGTAGCACAAAGTTACACGCTACACTCGACGGCGTGTTGTGAGACTGGTTTAGTGAGTTCACTAGGCAATTAATCTTTTGCGGAATCGAAGAGCGTCGAAGTTAGGGTTTTTACGATATTTTTCTACACAAACAAATACAAAGATATGTAACAATATTTTGTTGCACAAAGCGTACAAATATATTATATATAAGAGTATAAGATTTCATTAATTATTTTTTTATTTTTATTTTTATTTATATAAAATTCCTTTTCGATTTAATGCTATCAACTAATTATAAATTTCGAACTTTTATTATAAGTTCTTTAATTTTTCATTTAAATTCATTTTGTTTTGTCAGTGTTTTTCTTGTTGGTTTTAGTAAATTCTGGTTTAATGAAATCGTGCAGATTTTTTTCACCCACTGTCTTTTGTGCTGTAATTTTTGGGTCTTAGACTTGTTTGCTTTTGAAAAAGAATTTGCTAGATTTAAAATATTTCGTTAATTAGGTGATATATTTAGTATAAAGTTATCAAATAAATAGTGAGTATCGTGCCTGCGCGTAACTATAAAAGCCTGACAAACTACTTGGAAGCATCAAACGCTTACAAGCTGTGAACGGAGTTAGCAAAACACCAATTACGAAATGGTAAATAATTTAGACAAATTAAAAAAAAAAAAAATTTATTGAAAAATTCACAAATGTACCGCAAAAATATTTCAACAGTTAACGAAGGTGTATTAAAAACGATTGATTAAAAGATTTAAAGCAAATGAAGAGTTCTTAAGTACTTCGATAATGCAAAGTGCTGAAAAATTATATTTTTCTTAATTTTTTTTACTCCCTTTTCTTTTAAATGTAACTTGCGTCAAAAAAATTTAACTCCGAATTATTCCGAATTACTCCGAAAAACTCCGAATTTTTCGGCATACACCAGATATTATCTCTAAATCAGTAGATGATACTTCAAATAAAATAAAATGTGTTTTGAAAGCAAATTAGGCACACCACATTACTCCGAAATTTAATTTTTTTAATAACTGCTACGCTTCATTAAACAATATTACAGCTTAAAGTTGTAATGCTTTTTTTTATTAATTTGAATCTAAAAATTCTTTCCACCCCCTCATTTTGTAGAAATTCTTCCTTGTCGCCCTCGCCGCCATCTTGGCTTGCGCCAGCGCTGATGTCTCTGAGTTGGGTTACACCTACCAGGAACCTGCACCTGTAGCCTTATCTGTCCAAGCACCTGCACCTGCTCCAGTTGCTCAACCCGACCGCACCTACGTGCCACCTGCACCTGCACCAGCTCCAGTACATGTGCCAGCTCCAGCTCCAGCACCAGCTCCCGTTCATGTGCCAGCTCCCGCTCCAGCTCCAGTTCACTACCAAGCACCAGCACCAGCTCCAGTACATGTACCAGCTCCTGCCCCAGCACCAGCTCCAGTCCATGTCCCGGCACCAGTGTACATCCCAGCTCCAGCACCAGCTCCAGTACATGTACCAGCCCCAGCACCAGCACCAGCTCCAGTTCATTACCAAGCTCCAGCTCCAGCCCCAGCACCAGCTCCAGTTCATGTGCCAGCTCCCGCACCAGCACCAGCTCCAGTTCATGTTCCAGCCCCAGTTTACATCCCAGCTCCAGCACCAGCAGCAGCACCAGCTCCAGTTCAATACGTTGCTCCAGCTCCAGTTGAACCAACTGAGCAAATCGAACATCACGCTGAAGATGGTTACCGTTACAAGACTGTCCGTCGTCGCGTCTACAGACGTCGTTATTAATTTGTTTAATTTTTTTGGTTTGATGATGATAAGTCTATCAGATGAAATGAGGAAAAAAGTGCCACACACCTAACGAATAAAATAAAAAATTAGTTTTTAAAAAGAATTTTTGAGTTTTGTTAAATGGACTAGCAAATTTATTCGTTAAAAAAGTGAGTTTAGATCTAACCTCATTTCGTTGGTATTTGTAATTCTGGTATAGATCCCTACTGGGAACAGGGCGCCTCTGAATAGCCGGTCGCGGATATCAATCACTGGAAGTACCTCTGTTCAGGGTGAACTTTTTATGCTCTTAAATTACTATACCCCATGCACTTTGAGGGTCGCAGTAGCGGGTAGTTTGCAGCTTCAATCTTCGACAGCCTCCGCTTCTCAAACCCTGAAGCTTTGCTAAGCTTTCGTGGGAGCTTTTGGCGACAAACATGTGACATCATAAAAAATGTACACTGAGCTTGCCGCTTCGCGAGTTTTGGTGGCTCAAGGATATAAATAAATTCCTCCAAAGTTTCCGAAGTGGAAAAAGTTAAATTTTGAGTTTCTCGCAAAAGCCATAATCTCATTATGTGCAATCGATGCGAGTACTTTTCGCAGGAAGTTGAAATGCCACAGCCGCAGCGCATTTGGCAGTCGCTGAATAATAGAATTTTTCGCAAGTTGAGCTGCAGCTGAAATGGCATTCGCTTGTGAATTTTTAAAATCGCAATAGTAATAGACTCTCACATACATACATACATACATACAAACGAAGGAGCCAACAAATCACAGCGTAGCTGCATGCCACATACTATTGATGCAAGCATAATTCCTGGAAGCTGTGAAGCTCCGCAGTATACACATCCCGCTCCCTCTATATGAGGCATCAATAAGGAAGCGCAAACATTTCTTTTACCTGCCTGTTGCTCTTGCCGAGTTCCACGCCTGAGCCTTGTGCCTTAGCATTTCTTACTCTCCTCTCGCTCTTGCTCTCGCTGGGGAGCGTGGAGAAAGTTTGAATTTAACGAGAAAAAATTTCCACATCATCAAAGCTCATTCCAGTCGATAAATTCTGTGATAAATGTATGGGCCGGTCGATTGCATACATTTAGGCGTAAGCACATAGTAGTTTGCTCATATAATCAGACAAGTGCTGGCGAATGTGGCTGAGTGTGTGTGTGCATGTGTGTACAATATACTTAGCAAAAGTAGTGGCCAATAGACGAGCTATTTATGTGCGCCGTCTGGGGAAGCACACCCAGTGATATATATGTACACACACTAACACCTGCACAGTACTTCTACTATTCTACTATTACTCTTTTCGGGCAAATTTGTAATTTCATAAATTTTTCTCAATAGACGTGCGTGCCTCTGTGCAGCGATAAAATCAATAATGCGAGTGGATTTTTTTTTGAGTGGACAAAGAAGTTGAAATGTTGACAGTCCAGAGCACTCGTTGGAAAAGTATAAGCCTTGGGTGTACAGTGGAAGACAGCAACCAATCCCTTAGAAAAGCTGTTCTACAAAACGAGCGAAGATTGGTTATAGTTCCGCAGTAGTGGGAAGTCATCCGCAGCTTCGGCTGGATTCTGGAAGTTCCAACTTCATTTTTAGTTTCGCTAAACGTACCAAAAAAAGAGAGCATATGAGCTCCAGGAAAAGAACTCGCAACAGCTTCAGTGGGGCACACAAAATCTTGGTATTAGAACCCGCAAAAAACCAAAATACTGGTGGCCCTAATGCTGTAGCCAGCCTAAAAGTTGGTAGAGACCGCAGACGGCTTCATTTTACTGGAGAGGAAGAGGCTTACTGCCAGAAACCTGTGCGAGAAGCTCGGGCATTTGCGGCGTAGTAAGGGACCGAAGGTTGTAAACAGATGCGACCCATTCCAATAACTACCATCATAGATCTCAGAAGACCAGGGTGCGCATGTCTATTGAGGAGCAAATTTAGTTGGAGTTGGGGCTTGGTTTGAAAAGTTGATGCTTAGACTGTCAATCGATTCTGTGAGAGTCGACGGAGCCGTGTGATTGGTACAAGCCCATCACTCCTCCTCCTTTCTCTTTCTTGTCGGGCTGAACTCGCAGAGAACTAGATTTTCATGTACTTGGAATACCGCTTTAAGGATCACTTTCGTCTTCAACCCCTCTTTACTGGGTTTTACTAAGAGCTTTGAGGATGCATACATCGGCCTTCGCAAGATCACCACTCTTAGGTAACAGTCTATGCTTGAAGTTACCACATAGCCCAGTCGGCCTCCTCCACTTCAACTGCAACTTTGAAAGTGTACGCTAAAAATGTAGGGTACCAGAACTATTCGTACAGAGTCAATAAAACCAATTTCTAAAACTTTTCGTCTAAAGAGGCTACGCAGCCATCCGCTCAATACCAGAGAGTCCACCAGAGCTGTGGAACAACTCAAAGCTAAGTTTTGTATGTGAAAAGGATGTCACCAAGCTTCTGAAGACCCGTATATGTGTTAGTTAGGAGTAGAGTGAGAAGAGTAAGAAGGTGATGTCTAACAAACCAGTCTTGGAGTGCGCGCCTCGCAGAATCTTGCCTATTTTCAAAATTGCAGAAAAATCTATTAAATTTTTGGAAAGGATAATGGTGAGCGAAATGAAGCTTGAGAATGACTGTACGCTAATGAGCTCATCCTCCATTAACGCCTAAATAAAATTCGCTTTAATTCAATTTACGAAAAACTTCAAAACCCGCCAGCTAAAACGCCTAAAAGCAGGCTAACATATATAATATAAATTAAAAAAATAGTATACGACTTCACAAGCGAGCTTTGGTGGCTACAGCGCGCAGGCACAGCAGTGAACGGCTAAAATATTTATGTGTGTGATTAGAATCATAATTAGCTGCCAGCAGACTCATTAACACGCAAATTTTTCACGCCTGCCACGAGGGATGGGATGGAAAAAGTTGTTTGGTTGGTAACAGAAGCAACAGAAGAATGGTGTGAGTTCGAAAGGGTCAGCGCAGGGATATGCAAAGTATGCTGAGTAAAGTGGCGTCAGTGAGCAGCTGATGAGCTGTTGAGCAGATGCGCCGTTTCGACATCAAATTAGCTGTGCAAACTGACCAACTGAAGTGAGTGGTTATTGAACAATCATATACAATATCCATATTCTGCGTTTTCCAGCTCATTGCCTGATTAACTGAGTATGTGTGTGTGTGTTAGTGTGAGAGTGTGAAAGTGTGTTATTGTGTGCGGGTGGTAGAGAGTTGATTGCTGTGGTTTTTTGGCGCTGCCAGATTCGTTACGCTTGTAATTTTAATTGCCTGTCAAATTTTTCACACCTCCAACTAACATATGGCAGTCACGCATACACATACACATACATAGCTGAATACAGACAAACATAAATATGCAAAAGTAATTGTATTGGAAATTTGTCACAAGCGAAATATTCAAAATAAACTGTATAAGGCATACATTTAGGCGCTAGAGTTGTAGTTGCAGGTGCAATAAAAGTGCAAAATACCCACGCAAGCTGTAACAAGAACAACAAAAGTGGTGAAAATTTCACTATCGACACCTTTACCCACACACCGCCACCACCCTCTCGCAATACCAGCTCTCCCTTACTCTCCCCTCCAACCACCACCCACTACCTAACTGCTCAAGTATTGCGCAAATTTTAATTCATTTAATTGAGCTGCCAATATTTGACCAAAATGTAATTAACAAAGCGGCTTTTTCGGCGTTCGGCGGTTGGGTTAGCGTTTATTGACAGTTATTGCGCGCGTATGCACTTTTATTTATCTTTTATATTTTTGCATATTTATCTATTGCTTCTTCATTGTTTACCAACAAACGGCGCGGTTATGCGCACAAATTTGTTGTGGTAATTGTAACTGTAACTGTAAATTTGCTATCTAGTTTTCTAGTTAAATAAAAATATATTATATTTACAATACTTTGTGTTGTGTTGTTGTTGTTGGCTGATAGTTTTGTAATTTAGGTATTTATTTGATTTTTATTGTTTGGTTTTGTTGGCAAATAAGAGTTGGGTTTTCCAATAGCATCCTAATTGTAGGCAACGATTTATTGGTTTAAATGTGTATCGTATATGTGGTGGAAGGAAAACGTTGCCTACAATTAGGCGCACATATAAATTTTGTTTAAAAAATAGTGTTTTACAAAATGTTATTACCAAAAAACTTGAAAATCAAAAATTTCTGAGAAATTGTTACTCGACGAAGAGGCGTCTGCTGAATGTCTGCTGAATGTATTCTGAAGTTAAAATTTGGTTTTGAAAGTTTACAAAAAGAGTAGAAGCTCTACGATTCTCCTTACAAGTTTTTATTTCACAAACAATGAGCCGATCTCATTATATCTTCCCAACAAGTCGAAAGACATAAGCCCGTGGTGGATAAAAGACGTCAAAAGAATGTGCTTCTATTCGACTATGAAGCCATTTTTCGGCTTGACGACCGCAACAGCTTAGTGGTTGGCAGTGCGTACGAATGCTAGTAGGCCTAGGGTCCGACCGACAACCAAAATTATAGAAAATTATTTTTTTTATTTATGGTTGCCCCCCGTCGACGAATATCAAGCCCTCCGTGTATATTTCTGACCTGAAATAAAAGCTCCTCGTAAAAATCCATCGGCCGCAGAGAGTTGGCTTAGTATAAACAGTAGGTCACTTCACGTCTAGCAAAAAAAAAATAATCACAAATTGGATGAGGAGATCGGCGGAAAAGAACCTTCAAGAAAACCTCGATATTCTAAAGCTTATCAACCTATTGCAGCCGCTTGAGGTAGATTCGAAAGTGCTGAGAACATCAGGCTGTATGAAGTAGGCTCATAACCAGTAGATGTTTGCGCGAATTAGAATAAAATATTCCGCCATCCCAGCTGGTCTAATCTATCTATGAAGTTCGCAAGTTCCCTCGAGCTAAGTTTTGAAAAGATGTTGATTATGAAAGATACCTGTGAATACTTCGAGAACCAATGAATATGACTTTTGACATAAGGTCCAAAGCGTTGAGAATATATAGGCTATATGAAGTGAGCTCATCCTCAGAAGATGCTCTAACCCATCAAGCGCAATGTCG